ATCCTGGCATAGCAGAAAATATTAATCTAAAAAAAAAAAAAAGAAGATTATTAATTCAATGCCAGTGTGCAGGAGACCCTCACCATTTTGAACTCTTTCTGGATCCTTTTGAGGTCAGCAGTACATGCCCTGCTAAGGAGGGGAGTGACGGCTCTTGACTAGAGTGGGGTTACAGGTTGTGGTTGGCAGAGAAGATGGTGGGATAACTTAATGAGAAAGGGATTCAGCAAGTAACTTATTGCAAGTCTGCTGTATTGAGAAATGAATAAAAGGGGGAACAAAAGTGAAACATACCCCGTGGAGTATGGTTTGTGAAGTAATGAACAATAGGCAAAAACTTGCGTGAAGATGTCCGGTGGAGGAGGTGGCACGCAAGAAACCCAGTCTGTTTTCCTATTTGGTGGTGATACAACAGAAGTAGCCCCTAATCTAATTACTGTTAGTTCTAGCTGTTCATTCTTGCTTGTCTTGCAGCAGTGTGGATTTGTACCATTTGACAGTAAAGAGGGAGGACAGATGGACTGAAAAAGAGAATGTTTCATAGGATTTTTTTCGGGTAAAAGGAGTTTGATGGAGAATGCCAGGATATCACTGGCACAAATCAGAGGTAGGGCATCTGGACTGCTTAGATTAGTACTCAAACCACAGAAATGGTCATGAAACCACAACCTTAAAGGCAGGTGGAAAATGCTTAGTAAAAGTTTGCACTGTCTTTGGTTTGCACTTGTTGAATCATGTCTGTGTGGATTTCGTTTGGTTAGCATCTACCATTATGGAGTCCTGCACCATGGTGAGCCCTTCAAGTATTTTCCACAATTATTTTTTTTTAAAGCACACACAAAATGACACTCTACGCTTCCGAGACCTACAAGAAATGTAATTCTTCGCTCACTTGCAACTTACCAGCAAAAATGAAGGAGCAATGTTTCCAGTGAACTAGAAAGCGATGGGATTTTGCTTAGAAAGAACTAAAGGGAACTTTAATCCATTTGTTTCTTCGCCGGTAGAATGTGAAGGTCCTGTAGACCAGACTGTCCCTTCACTTGCATCTGTGTGTTTCCAAAATATTTTTTTATGCATAACATCCTTGGTAGTTTACAGGGGAGAACTTGGTGCGCTGGTAGAAATTTTATTTCTCTACAGAGGTGCAGATTAGACATGGCACTGTTCAGTTTTCTTTCAGCATTAATAGGTGAGAAGTAGGAACAATTTACTGGTTTATTTAGCATATGCATCTCTGAATGAAGAGTAGAGTTTCAGTTAGAAAATGCTCATTTGTATGTGTCTATTTTAAAGTGGAATAGTCTGCCCAAGTACAGCCTGCACAGGTTATGTTACATCCAGCTTGGGCCAGGCTAAACGCCAGGTATAAATCAGTGCGTCTCTGGTGTAGTTTGAACTTTGCTTTCTGTGTAGCTAACAAAGATTTCCTTTAAAAGAAAGCTCAAGGGTCGGAAATAATTTTCAGACTTAAAGTACCATGCCATCTGTTTCTGTTTTCTGTTGCTGGCATCACTGCATTTTGGGGCAGTAAGTGGACCAGTGTAGAGTCTGGTTGTCCCAACCCCCCCAAAAAAATATTTTCAAATATAATGTCAAGAATGGGGGGGGGGGGGGGGGGTATTTTTGTCTTCCCTCTACTTTTATATTTTTTCTTTTT